TAGGTTAGCCCTCTGACTATTTGCGATCTGGTCCTCTAATACCTTATTATAAGACCTAAGAAGTGAGTTGACCTAAGTAAGGCCCACTTTCCTACTACACTACTACTACTAGGCCGCGGCGTAGGGCCTAGGCCTAGGCCTAGTCCCCTAACCTTGGTAGGCCAGCTAAGCCTAGGCCCCTAGTAGTAATGCCTAGGCTAGCTCGTTCTAGGCCAGGCCTAGCTAAGTCTTCGTACAGTTATATTAGGCCTAGCCTAATTGTTAAAGTAGCAGAGCCCCGCTCTAGGTAGGTGGCCAGATAATAGATTAAGTAGGCCCCAGCCTACGCTACTGTAGCCTAGCTTACTTAGTTAGGACCCTACTGTAGTAAGACTCTTTTAACCCATGTCAGAAGACCTAGGACTAGCCCAGACTATGTATTATAGGCATTAATGTAATGCTAGGGCATGATAATTTCTTAATATAGGCCTAGAGTCCTAGTAAGGCCTGCGTGGGGAATTTATATCCTCCACGCAAAAATTTGAAGTCCGTCCGCACATTTCAGAATATAAGGGCCAATATTTCCGCGTAGATTTTGCAGAAAATTAGGCTTTGACCAAATCCTAATAATAATATAACCAGTGCAATTATGATTCCATGTACCTATTTTGCTAGGGATTGGGGCTGATTTTTTAGGTATCCTCTGCCCAACTTTACAGTATGGGCCTAGCCTAGGCTAGAGGCCTACTAATAATGATTGACTGTGGCCAAGTTGACTAAAAATGCCAATAACTGAATATACTGCAATATCCCATGCAGCCCTAAGGCTACTATTGTGAATTTTAACAATGCATTAGGCCCCATAAAAAAATTATTAGTTTATCACCCGCTCCCTCATCACTTTTGGGAAAAATCTGTTTTTTTTTTGTTTTTTTTTAACAACAAAAACTTATTTTTTTATATAAATTTGATTCCATTCTTATGACTTTTTATATATGTGTCTCTAACCATTGATTTACTTGTGAACATCGGTAAAATGGGGGCGGGATTAGCGAAAAAAAAAAAACTCCCTCCCTCATCAGTTTTTATTCTTTGTTAGGGTGATAAACTAATAATTTTTTTTATGGGGCCTTACCTGCATTTTTACCACAGTCATATGCACAATGCCTAAAATAGCATTGATCAGAAACAGTTTCATTTATTGTGGGATTGTAACATTAACACTAAGATGTTAAGAGTGTTATTTGTTAGTCCTTTACATGATATTGTCTTGGCATATATAATTTTAGCAATAAGGATTCCAATCCTGTTAACACTGCATGCTAAATATTTTATATTCCTATGAAGGTGTCTTAAAAAAGAAAAACCCAATATTGTTAATTTTAAAATCCAACTTATTTTGAAAAATTGGTTGAATTGTAAAGATAAGATTGATACTTGATCAGATTTTTTAGCTCACTGTTTTTTTTTTTTTACCATTAACATTTTTTAACATTGGCATTGATTTATTATTTATTCAATGAATGCATAACTCTGTTATTCCAGAAATGCAAATACCTGAACATATACTGTATCCCATGCAGTTCTAAGGCTCCTATTGTGAATTGCAAACCTGCATTATTAACTGGTTTTTTTTTCATCACAGTATACACATTTCCTTGCATTGGCCAGAAACATTTATTGTAGGATCGTAATATTACTACTAGATTTTATGTTAAAGATGTCGCTTGAAAATGACAATAAGTCATAAAAAATAATTTTTGAAATTAACTTGCTCATATTGAGCATAGAAATTATGGAATTTAAAAAATGTGTACCTTGATTTTTAAACTGGATGATTATAATAAAATAATAATAAAATAAATAAATGAAGCACTTCCAGTAACTGGAAGTGTTTTTATCATTTTTCGATGTAAAATGATAGGTAAAAATTGTTTACGTATGCTAATTTCTATGTTCAAGTTGATAATTTTTATGTTACTTCAAAATAGGAAAAGTTTCTTTCAAAAATGATTTTTGGGATTTTTTTTGGTGTTTTGCATGGGACAATGCAAGTGTATTTTTTTTTGTGCAAAATCTGTTGGTTTTTTTCTTTGCAAGATATTTGTCTTGGCATTAATGATATTAGCAATAAGCATTTCAATCATGTTACATTTTATGCTAAATATTTTGTAGATGTCGTAAAAAATTCCCACTATTGTTAATTTTAAATAACCATCTTAAATTTGAATAATGGGTTGAACTTTACAAAGCTTTATCTAAAGATGAGCTCGATACTTGGATAAATAAGATGTACTTGATCGTGATTAGATTTTAGCCCATAGTTATTGTATTTTTACCGTTGATATTTTTGAATTCATTAATTAGTTATTCGTCTAATCACTTGCATAACTCAGTTATTATTTTTAGAAAAGCCAATAAACTGAATATACTGTATTCCAAGCAGCCCTAAGGCTCCTAATATAATTTGTGATTTTGTATAAGGCCAAATAAAAACAAATTACTAGTTTCTTGTCCCCTTTTCTTTGTTTTGTTTTTTTTTTAATTTCCTTTATTTTACGAAATGTAAGAAAATATGGCTAACTCACATCGGAAAAAATTCCTCTTTCAGTTGTTCAGTTGTTGGGGACACATGGTATAAACCATGTCTAGTGCTTCTTTTATTTGCTTTCAATATGTCTACTTGGTAAAAGTGAAAAAGTAGTAGATTGGATTCCATCGAACATCATGGATTTGCCATCTCGGAGTTAAAAAAAACAACCCTCATTCTCCTCTTTCCAAAATATTAGGATGAGAAACTACTTTTTTTTTTTTTACTTGGCCTAAACTGTTTACTCTACCAGAAACATAAGCACAATGACTAGCAAGTGCTGTATCGTTGTTAGTTAACTACAGGAGTTTTTTTTGTTTGTTTTATAATAATGAATGGTTGTATACAGTAATAATGAATTGTTTTTGAAAGTAACAAAAAAATCTGGTAATGTTTTCATTTAATTCTCATCTTAAGGTACTTTAGAATTTATCTCTTTTTAAAGGAAACTCTGTGAATTATTTGTTATCTATTAAACTTGTTTATTTTGTTGTTTTTAAAAATTTTATTATGTTAGATATAAATTTAAAAAATTAGAGAAAAAAAAATTTATGTGGGGCCAAATTGACTCAAATTCCCTAATCATTACTTAGGGCCTAGGTCTACTTTTTAAAGAAAGCCATCCATTTTGGTCAGTAACCAGTTCAGATGTATTTTAAACACCCGATAGAAATCAAGAAATTAAAAGTGTTTTGTTTGTTTTATCGCTGTTTGGCTAGAGGTCTGGTACCGATCTCAAGATCTGACTGTGGATTTCGACCAATCATGAAGTGAAGTGCATCCATAGAGCAGTGATATTAAAACTTGTGAAGTCAATGAGACTATCGCGAGTTGTGGATCGCAGCCATTTTCGCAATGGTTACTATCCATCATCAAAAAATGTCATTGCACCATTGTTTGTACTTTTAGGAAGGCAGGCCTCAATAAGTGATAAAATCTGTCAAAAGGCCCAATAAGTTTATAGATTTTAATGTTTTATACGATTGATTCCATTTAATTTGTGGAATTACCAAGCCCAGCAATATATATACATAACTAGATGTGATAAGAAACACCCAGAAATTGCATTTTCCAATGTGATTGGATTTGAGTAGGTGTACTTGCCCAGGCAAATATGTTGACCATTTAATACAAGTATTGATTGTATAACATTGTGGTAGACCTACATATTTGTGTGGATGTGTCATGGTGGTTAGCATGCATGTGCATAAATTCGGCTGGAGGTACCGTATACGAAATTATGGTTCAAAGGACTCAAAATAGTTTTTATTACAAACCGTGGTTACACTGACAACAAATGAACAGGTTATCAATTCATATAGGCCTACCTTAAACACAATCGCCTCGTGCTTAGTCATGACGCAAAGTTTTGTCAGCACCCTTACCCATCACTACCTGAATGAATTTACTGGAGATGGGTTAGCTTCTGGAAGATTTCTGCTTTCTTGCTGGAGTGTGGGAGACTGTCTCGATTTCCAGGCGATTCCTGCGACTTGCGCGAGACTAGGGACTAGTCTTACCGTAAATCCCCAAATAAGCGACATTCTCGAATAAATGCAGCGCCAAACCTGATTTTTTAGCTAAGTGCCGCTCTCGAATAATGGCTGTGGCACCTAATTAAGAGTATAGTATTACCCTGTTTGAGTGTAATAAATGTATACAGTGCTGAACAAGCATTTCTTTATAAACGTTCATTTACGATGGCGTAGGACTTATGATTGGCCTACTGAACTACGCGAATATGTGAGATAGGTAACATGGGAACGGGCATGGAAAGCGCCACGCCAATATTTTTTTGTAAGCGCTGCTCTTCAATAACCGCCGCTCTCGAATAGAGCTGCACTGAAACCTCCAAAAATGTTTTAATTGCCGCGGTGCTTATTTGAGCATTTACAGTATTACCATATGAAAATTTTAAGTTCATTGTCATAACTACAGTAGAATTATGCACATTTCTTGTAATATTATGCCTGGCCTAGTCTTCCAAATTTGCCTTTCCTCTTTTCTTTCTAACCTCAAATAATTGTTTGATTTTGCACTGTACACAAAGTCAAAGCAATAATAATATTCTAATTGAACATCCATGGAATAATATGCAAGGTAAAAGAACGTTTGTTCACAGATCAATTAAATTATGGAATAACCTCCCAGATAATATTAAAACAAACTTTGAATCCATGACACTTTTGGATTTTAAAACTTCTATTTCAAATCCTTTATAAGATAACTTAAATTCTTTCTGCCATGCATATTATTCCCAATATAAATTAAATTGTATTGTCGATATTTTAAGAAATTGTTTTTAATGATGTTTCTTCAATAGTTCTTTTTTTTTGTTAATACTGAACCACTTCGGAAATCAGTGCTTTAGCACTGAAAGTGTCCAGTATAAAGACAATAAATAAATAATATTTTTTTTATTTCCATATAGATTTTTGCATCTGAAGCTCAAAATAATGGTAAGGAATTATCCTTTTTTTCTCTCCATTTTGTTGTAGATGTACAGGCTGTCGGAAAAAAAGAAAAAAAAAACTATAAAAACCTTAAAAATTTAACAATATATTTTGAATAGCTCATTTAAATAGTTTTCGCCAGTTTATGGACACAATCGACAAAAATCCCTAAATTGGTTACCAAACAAATTAAGGTAACCAATTTTGATAATTGTATGAAAAACTTCAAGAAATATACCCCTTTTAAAAATTTTTCACATCCACAGTATTCATTCTCACTGATGTTTTACTACTGCAATACTGTATGTTCTTTGGTCATAGTTGAGTAATTCTTTTGTTTTGTGTTTCAGTTATCATTACGAATATTATTCCAAACGTAAATTCCGGAGATCCACTTATAGAGCATGTGGATGGTCATTCCGTTACTGCTCAGTTCACGATTGGCACTACAGCAGGAAGTGATTCCCTAATCGGAGCAAATCTTTGGAGTTTATCCTTCTACATAGCCGATTCAAGTGAAAATCTTGTCACTGGGACACGGGTCGATGCTACTTTAACTAATCCCAATGTTGGGGTTACTCCAGGGCAAACTTTTACACTGGAAGGAACAGCAAATTTAAACCTGGACAGTAAAGATTGTTCACAGCTTCCTAAATTTTGTGCAACATTATCTGTTAATCCATCAGCATCACCTGCTTTTACTCTAACACCGGACACAGGTTATTCAACTACGAAATGCACTGATATTAGTTGTGAAGGTTTGTAGTTTTTTTTGTGTGTTATTTGGCACTTCTCTTTTATTAAGGTCATTGTTATTGTAATATTGTGTTTTATATTTTGTTTATTTCTGTTTATTTTTGTTTATTTTGTGAAATGTCTAATGATTGTTCACATAGACCCTATATGAATATTGATACTTATTTATCTTTATTTTCACAGGACTATTTTTAATCATTATTTCCATCATTGATATTAATTTCTATTATGCCTTTTTGATGATACAGTTTTGTCACTTCATCAAAAGTGTGAAGAAACCATAACAATTTACACAATACCTTGAAAAAAATATGTGTGCTAATGGCAAAATATAGCTCAGTTGGTAGCGTAGCCGAAAGGTAATTGAAAGGTCTTGGGTTCGAATCCCGATGGGGACATACTTTTTTCTTGAATATTTATTATCATCTTTAATTATCACCAGTGCAGGTGTATCTCCATACCAATGTTACTTTTGAGTATTCGAAGTTAAAGAATTTGAAAATATGACTCAAAGAATATTTCTCAGCCTTATATGAAAATGGTATTTTTTAGGTGTGGTTATTACAAATGTACTACCTGCCCAAACAGAAGACAGATCCTTGATCCAAGGTACAGACAACATTAATGTAAATTTGACTGTCACCTTGTCCTCTGACACAAACTATGCAAGTATTCAAGGTAATTAACTAAACTGCCATCTAACGTAATAATGTACCTCATTAGTGTTTTTTTATGCTATGATGATGTGATGCTTTAGTGAATGCAAGTTTGGTTCTTGAAAAATATTTATCCGACAACCTCTATATTGTCTTGCCTGCAAGCATGGAAAGATGGTTTTGAGTGAGTCACTGTGAGCGTAGTTTAGGAAAAAACTAATAATCCTCATAATGCCCCTGTGAAAAGCAGTTAATTATTACATAAATAAATTTTTGAGTAGTTTGTATTGTATGATAGTCAGCCAAACTGTATATAATCATATACCGTAAAACCTCGAATTGAAGCCCAATGGGCTTAATCTCGATGAGAAGCCCATTTCGAATTGAAGCCCCTTGTCAGTTTGCAAAATTAGCATCGAAAAGAAGCCCACAATCTTCTTTTAAATATAGCATAGGCTTTTTTTCATACAGTGTACATGAATTTCAAGGAAACAAAATAAATAAAAACATGCTTATTTTATACTGTAGTTTTAAGTGATTTAATGCTGGTTAATGCACTCCATCATACAGATTGATGCTACAGTGGCCTTATTTATTGTTTTATAGTGCTAATTCCGAAAATTTACAGCATTCATTTTGAAAAGAAGCACCCCTCTTTGCAAAAGTTGCCTCGAAAAGAAGCCATCTCGAAAAAAGCCTATCCAAAGTTCGCAAAAAAAAAAGAAGCCCAGGGCTTCAATTCAAGGTTGAGGTACAGAGGTTCGAGGTCGAGGTACAGTAGGCTAATTATAGTTACGAGTAATTAACATTAATTTTAGTTTTTTACCAGATTTGATAGCACCACTTTGCATGAAAGAAAGTGCTTAAAAATACTTCAACTACATCTTTAAAGTATAATTGAGTATCCATCTGAATTGTTTTCATAAAGGAACTGGTCTGTGGAAAGCATTTGCTTTCCTTAATTCAGAAGTTGATGGAACAGGATCAAGACTACAATCCGCTGCTGTTGATATGCTGGATTCTGACGACTATGGTCTTGATAACAACGGAATGTCAGTTTGGCCAAAGGTGATCTTATACGGGATCTATTCTATTTTTTGTATAAAATGTAGCCATAATTTTGTTAAGCACCATTAAGCCATAGTACATAAGGCAGAAAATAAATTATGTACCCTAATCCCATTTACATTTGGAAATTAGGGTTGGTCATCGGCAATTTTTTTTTTTTGTGTTAAACATAGGCCTAATTGTAGAGTTGTTTGATAATGATATGTATAATTTTAGATGCATAAGATCTATAAAAGAAGTTTGACCTCTGCTACTGGTAACAAATCTTGTTTAAAGTTTTAAATATTTGTTTTATGTAAATTTCCATTTCATGCAGCTATATTATTATTACGTGCTTTGAAATTTCCACAAGCCTAGATCTTGCATTGAGGTAGATTCAAATTTCGGTGACCTGGAAAAAAACTTTTTCACCAAACTTTTTCAAGAAAAAGGATATATTATTGAAGTACATTCAAAACATATACTATTTAGAATTCAGGTCAATTGGAATGGTGCCCTAGAAAAAAAAACCTAACTGATAGTCAGATAGTGACTAGATTTTTCAGTAATAAGTATATTTTACTTAGTATAGATAGCTGGGTGTGTTTCAGCAGATGGCCATAAGCTTACAAATTTAGCTATTGGGGAGTCTGCAACTTGTAGTAGTAGCCTAAAACATCTGACTCTCATTTGACTGATATTGCTGGTTGAGCAAATTGAGCCAGGTAGATGACACAATCAGCCATTGTTTTTGTTCCAGTTTTTAATATAGTGCTCACCATATACCCTTTGTTTTCTTATATATTAATTTATGTACTATTTTGTCTACAGATTCAGGCCGACTTTGATCTTACTGACCTTAGTTGTGCTGATTTTGATTACGTTTGTGTGGAAGTCCAACAGGGTGATAGGCCTGCTCCTGACTTTACACTCACTTATCAACCAAGTACAGCTGATGTTGGCTGTGCTCAAATACAATGCACTGGTGAGTGTACAATACAAGGCATGGGTAGTGGGAGGTTGGGTTATTATTGTAAAAATGCAAAACATAAGTATGAACCAAATTGGAATGAAGTACAGTAAAGTAAATAGTTCAATTCTTACTATTTGAGTAGCTAAAGAAACTCAGATTGGGGACCTGTGGCACCTGGTGTTGAATTGGTCAGTACACCAGAAATCCGTTTCCTGCTCTTTTTTCCAGAAATGCATCATTAACGTACACCTAGACCACTGTGGGCCTATGGTTTATAGTCATTCAGGAAGACTTTTTCCAGAACCATAGGCAAGCATACCGTTCAAGCCATCGCTGCCTATGGCTGCAGGTTGCAACCCGCCTGCCTTAACTGCTCGGCCATTCGATTCACCACTCATGATGATAATGATATTCATTTTTAAGATCATCATTGTTTTTCATTTAAATGGATCACAAATCATGATTATGATTACCGTAAATGTTTGAATAAGCATTGCTGCACTTACAACATTTTTGGAGGCTTCAGTGAGGCAGTTATTCAAGAGCGGCACTTATAAGAAATATATTGGCTTGGCACTATCCATTCTCTTTCCCATGTTACCTGTCTCACTTATTCCCGTACTTCAGTAGGCTACATCATCGTACATAAACGTTTTTAAAGACATTCTTGTGTCTTCATTGTGCTATTTCTTCATTTTAACACTGAATGTCTTGTATTTAAAACCCTGTTTCTCAAAGTGTTTCATTACACACAGGGTAAATATACTTTCGATTAAGCGCTGCGGCACTTATTTGAGAGCGGCCCTTAGCGAAAAAAAATCCGGTTTGGTGCGGCGCTTATTCATGCATTTACGGTTCCTGCAACATTATAGATTAGGCGAGACTTTTTTATACCTTGTTTTGTGAACTTATTTCTTCAATGATCATCAGAGGAGAGTGTAAAAAAAATATAAATAAAATTTGTTTTCTTATTTAACAAATATCCAGACGGAGGAGAAAAGGATTAATGTAAATGCTGAAGTAATGGGATCATTAATGCTTTAGATTTATATAATAATAGAAATAGGCAATTCTTGTTTTTGGAGATTTCAAGGCAGCTGCAGGCATAATAAAAATAAAGAAAAGCTTTTATTTTTTTCTGAAATTTTCATTTTTTGTGGTGGTGGGTGCGATAATTAGCCAAAAATTAAATTTTATTTTTATTTTTATTTTAAATCATCATTTTTTGCTGACGGCGGGTTTGCTAACCAAGGTATATAAAAAGCCTCACCTCCATAGAACTTGAAAAATATGTTCAATACTGTATGCATTTGTTTTTATGTCAGGTGGGTAGTAATATGAAGAACATAAACATGAAACATATATATATCAACTACATTAATATTTTTAATGATTTTGTTTTGATTATGATTTCTTTATCTTTTCAGGGCTTGAAATTCTCAGTGGTGCAACTTTGACTATTACTGCTGGTTTCCTAGAAGATCGATCAACAACAGTTGTATTTGATGTTAGTTATCCTACTGGTAATGCTGGGGTTACTGGCGACAATCTTTGGGACGTCAATGTGTATGCAAGTGCTAATGCAGATGGAAGTGGTACAAGGATTAGTTCTGAACAAGTAGCATTATCAAGTGAGTTCAAATTGCCCCTGTAAATGGGTCTACTTGTGGCATATCTATGACACACTGATGGTAATGGTGATAATAATAATAATAGGGATCTTTCGATTTGTTCGACGACGCAACGCTAGAAAGGAAGCGCTCATGTGTGACCATCCTGCCGGGCGTCCTACGTTCTCTGCATAGGTAGATTTGGCCAGATTGTGTCGTAACGTTCTCGCATGCGCAGATGACTTTTGGTGACGTCATTACGTTCTTACGTCCTACCGTCGTGGAATCGAAAGCTCTCTAATAATAATTCAGTAGTTATAAAGTATTCAAACAATAATTTTAATAGATATTATGATGGCAATGATGATGATTATAATAGTGTTATTAAAAATAATAACAAGAAAGACTATTCTTGGCCCTACAGGAGATAACGCATGCTGAATAGATTGAGCATGCATGCTGACTACATAATGCATGCATACTGCAGCTAACATGAGTCATGCACAGTGGACTACAAATGGTCTGGAGACTCCTATCAAGGCCCATTTTGGCACCTGTGGTTCTGGACCTTTCAGCCAGTATAGGGCTTATAGATGTATATGCTACTAACTAGCTATACATACTGTCTTATTTAGGCTTTCGTAAAACATGCAGTGAATGCTGCAAACATGATGCTTTCATGAAGTATGTATGCTGCCTACATGAGACATACATGCTATAAATATGAGCCATGCAATATGCTTATGCTCTGTCTAAGTTCAAAATAAATATAGAATCACAAAATGATTATGAGTTTATTTTTGCATTTTCTTTGTAACATTCCCCAACAAAAACATTAATAACAATAATAAATGTATTTGAAATTGTTTCTACTATGGTAATTAATTTATTTAATATTGATTATTTTACAGCTGCAAATGCTGGAATGGACATAGCAAGTGTTGGGGACTCACTTGATTTAAACAGCCTAAGTGTTACCATGGACTTCAGTGGTCAATATTGTGGAGACGGCAACATAATGTATCTGTGTGCAGTGCTGACAAAATCTTCATCTGCTAGTCCAGACTTTGAAATCTCGCCATCGAGTAACACAGTTTGTCAAGCAGCACCTTGTACGGGTATGTAAGGCATTAAATGTAGAGGAACATTAGGAATATTGTACATTTCTGAGGTGGCGTGACAAAATGGTTCGTGTTGTATGCAAGGTCAATTTAAGAATTCTCAGATAAAAATTGAGTTCTCATGGTTTCTGATAAGCATATTTTCATAATAGCAAATGTTCATTGTTCATTTACATACTTTAAGATTTTTGAAGCACTTTTTGTAAGGCTGTTTATCAAAGAAACCACCCAAGTTGTTTATCTTAGAAGAGATGTTGTCCAAAATGTGTTTTAAACACATAAATTTCTAAATGATCATATTTCGGTTCTACTCAACCTGGAAATATCTATCAAAGATCAAAATATAACTTATGATGTGGTCTATCTTAATGATTTATTTTTTTAATTTAGTACCAGGAGAGTCATTCTGTGATGACAGATTTTTTTTTTTTGTTATCACAAGTGTGGGTATTCTTGATTGTTTGGCAAATATTTGCACTTATTCTAAATACCTTTGTTATCTTTTGCTATATAATTAACAAATTCTGACAGCCTTTATAGGCAGTTAACACAATTAGATAAAATATATGAATTAATAGTCTATTTCGTGAATACTTACCTGGATAACCGACTAATTGCCATTGTTCCCAAAACGGAAAACCCCTTCGAAAAAAATGGAACAGTCTGACCCAAGGCGCCACGTGCGAACCGTCTCTCTAACAAACGTCCTTATTCCCTTTTCGACATTGTTCGAAGTTGGATACACTCTAGCCTTTGAAATTACTAGCAGTCTTTTCAAGCAATTCTGTTCTTATTTTGCCTTGGATTTATTTTCAACTTGACAAGATATCCTTTTTTATTGTAGTCTTTGTGCTCGGCGTGTGGGGGCCCCAAAATAAAATAAATATATAAAATAAAATATATGAATTAATATTTTATGGTTAGATAGTACTTCGATATAAAAATAAGACCTGATGTTACAGTACAACTTTTTTAAAGCTATGGTTAATATTTAATGAATTAGTTTGCTCCTTCCACAATAAAGAGATAGTCTCAAGTCTTTTTTAAAAATGGAAAACGTAATAAATAAACAATTATTTTTATGATAATGATTTGTCTTTTGCGATACAGGTGTGTTGATCTCTAGTGTGATTCCATCAACATCCGATAGCATTTTGCAGAATCGAGAATCAACAATCTCTCTTGATATAGACCTTACAGCCGATAGTAGTGCCGGTAGTGTTAGTGGCACAGGACTGTGGGATGTTGAGGTGTTCACAAGTGCAAGTGACACTACAATTGCTGCTGTTGTCACTGCTACAGTTACTGTAGGCTCAGCTGAGAATGAAGATGTGACTGCTGGGTCAACAAGCACCCTGACAGGAATAACTGCAGTTTTTGATCTGACGTCTCAGGAGTGTATAGATGTACCTTTTATCTGTGTACGTGTTTCTCGAGGATCTCCGTCTGTAAATTTTCAGTTGAATGCTAGTAGTACTTTAGAAGGCTGTTTCGTACCGGATTGTAAAGGTATTTGGTATTACAATATGATATTTAATTAATGTGTTTGGTGCAGAGGACTGAATCCATTATTCATGTGCCATATTCCAGAATGTGTTTGAATATTTCTTTGTAAAAGATGGAAAGTCTAAAATTGGTAAATCATTTTGTTAATGGTTATTATAATGCGAAAAATTAAGACTTGTTAGGTTAGTGTAGTTTTATTAATTTTATAGAAACAATAATACTTTAATAATAAAAACAATAATAACAATAGAAATGACCATAAAATAATAATAATTATAATGGAAAAGATAATCAAAATATTGATGGTAAAGTTAATTAAAAATGTAACTTTATGGTACCATTAACTTGAGAAAATGATTTATTGAAGGATGATAATGACATTATAATACTTAAATTATCATTTTCTAATGTTTTAACAAAAGAGTATATTTTGATACAACTACATGCATAGTGTTGAAAATATCTCAGCTTTTCGTAGAGAATGCTATCGTCATCTTGAGGAGAATGATTAAGGTATCTCTATCGTCAGTTTTTACATAGTGACCAGAATAGTTAGTGATACTAATATTGATAGAGCCTGATGATATTGATTGTCAAACAACTGAAAGACAGAAGTGGTTAGGTGTTCTGATGACAATGATTGGCGCTGTCTAAATGCCTATTAACACAAAGCGCGATAGCGCATAAAACAACAACCTAAACACTTAGTTATACAGTGCTATATATGTAATTAACCCAGCGTGTGACAGCAGTTGTCACATATGCAACTTATGTATTTTTTTCTGTGAGGCATGACCAGAATCACTGATTGGTCAGATTTGTAATGATATATAAAATAATCATATTAACAAAATATATTAATAGCTCATTTTACAAAATAATTAAAACAACATAAATTTATTCTATACAAATCCTTTTTTTTTTTTTTTTTTTTCAGGAGTAACCATCACATCTTTCAGGGTAATGGCAGATAACACTCCCTACATCACTGAATACCAAACAACAATGTTAACAGCCTCTGTGAACTTGGTGGTGAAAACAGATTCCGATGATGGCAGCGTTATTAATGGCCTATGGAAGGTTTTGATATACTTGAGTGGAAATGCTGACTGCTCTGGTACAGAGAATGCTATCGAAGAAGGTGACCTATCAAGTCAAAGTACTGAAAATCTTCCTGCTGGTAACGTTGTTGGCTTTAATGGTATCAATGCAAGTTTGAATGTCTCAAGCCTTATGTGTTCTGATATGGAGTACATTTGCGTAAATTTTACTCAAAATGATGGCGAGACATTTTCATTGACGCCACTTGTTAGTACAGCAAGTGATGACACAGATTGTAGAGGTAAGGGCTAAGTTTTGGCAAATGTCTACTATCACTGATAGACATTGGTAGAAAAATTAATATTTCTTCAAGCTTTTGAGAGAATACTGTAATTAAATTTGTTGTTTCGGTGCAGAGAGGTAAAACTGTTTGATGGCTTCAAATAGGCTAGGTTACGACCTAGGCCTCGGTCACCTGCTTACAAGAGTCCTACATCTAAATTTGTTACTTGAGTCTTTAAAATATGCCTAGATAGGCCTAAAATATTCTTATTAATCTTTCAGTTTCTTTATTAGGGAGGTCCATTGATACAGAGGAATTCTTGAATTTTAAGTGATTTTTTCCGGGTTCTAATTGACCTTGTTCTAAGAATGTCATGTTTTCAGTTACCACTTACCAACAAATTATGATTAGACTAGCGATTCCTTCTCTTTCTGCAGATTGGCGCCGGGACTAGGTGTAAAAACACTAGCCTAGAATCCACGCTATTGAATAACAATCAAATCAGATACACTGTACAAGTTGTTTTGACCTTTTGCGCATGAATTGAAAAAAAAGGTCAAGCAAATTGTACACTGATGACGTAAACTCATGAAAAATAAATAATGTTGGCGTTACAATGATGTTGCCACGATCGATATGTAATCATTGATTTATTTAATTATATATAATTTTTATCTATTTTCATGTATTTATAAGTTGAATAAATATATTTGAATTTTTCATTCTTATTTTAAAAAAGAATACCTATTAAGATGACTTAAAGAGTGAAACAAATCCACACGAATAAGTGTTGAATATTTTGTTGTATCAATGACAGAACAACAACCGAGAGAGGAGTTAGGCAGGCAAGGTCTTATATACTATGCTAATAAGCAAACAGGTGAAGTGAAAGTATCTAGAGAGTCAACTATAGAGGGCGCAAAATAAGGATGATTAAATAATGAGAAAAGCGTCATTGAACTCATTCTCATTTATTTGTTTACTTTTCTTTCCATTTTGAGCGCGACATATATGGGTACTGTACAAACACATTGTGCGAGTATACTCAACTGACGTTATGCACAGTAACGGAAGATGATGATGATAATGATAATCCCCTAAACTAAGTCTGCTTATGATATTTTAAGAAAGATGGTTAATTTTTGTAGAAAAAATTGATATCCAAACGCGGCTTATTGTTTTTTTTTGTATGTTGTTTTTCTTAGTAAAGGTAAAGGTAGGAGAATTACCGATAACTTGCAGCGTCATTGTGCTTAATTGCGTATTGGCGTGGTCCGTGACTACCTAGCAGCCGTAAAGAGGCGCTTTGATAGATACATGTTCACATCATTCCACAATGACGGGGGCTGAAATGAACCATAACATCGGGGTAACCCCTACTCTTCCGAATTTAAGTCCTTATCCGAGAAGACTTGGTTCTACTAACCGAACAATGGGCGAGGAGCGGCTAGAACCGGCTAGTGGCACCCCTGCCTTACCGCTCGGCCACTCGACTCGCCCTAAAAATCTTTTTTCCTAACTTCTTTTTTTGCAGGTGTATTAATAACAAGCGTAGCATTTACAGACAGCATAGAAGTGATTGAATTATCACCTGCCTCGGAAAATAGCATCACAATAACATCTTTGAATGTCACCTCTAGTAGTACTGGCGCAAGTATCACAGGAATGGATTTATGGGAGGCTATAATTTTTGTTAATGCAGATGATAGTACATTCCCAGATACTCCAGTAGGATCAACCGAACAATTAACTAATATGAATCTTGCTGCTGGTAGTGTAAGTAATAAAAATATTATGTTTTAGGCTTAACAGTATGTAGTTTATAAACATTGACTGTTCATGAGGGGAATGGTGAGATCTATTGTCTGAGGATATGTGGAGCGGTATACTATACTACTATCTTCCCGAGGGCCTCCTAGGCCTAGGCGGTCTAATGCCAATCTCTCTTGTCTTAGAGGATGCAGTCCCTTTTACGTCTGTGCATGTCATGATTACACCGTCAGCGATGTTTGTGGGGCCTAGAGATTACATTGTGGCAGGGCAAAAACAGTAATATCATTTATTGTGATAGTAATTTTCTTCACCAGTAATTTATGAACTATCATTCAAACCTACATCACAAGAGTGATGGTTAAAGGTATTACCTGCTTTTTAACCAATCAGATGCCTAGAATCTATGTATGTGACTATATGACTTCATATTAACACTCTGACCGCCAGGGGTTTGAAAAAATAGTATCAGCCACTGCCAGACTTTTTAGCGAATTTTAACACTTTTCCAAAGCTCATTGAGAGTGCGTATGTGATCAGATTGACATGTAATTAATACTACAAGAACCACAAACATCTTAACTTTACAATGGTACCAAACACTTTATTCTAATCACAATCTATAACCCGTAACAATAAAATGAAATTGACTCACTTTCAGAGATTAACGCAATTTTGCCCAATAAAGCTGAGATAATCGCGATTTTGCTACGCCCGATCAAAGAGTATAAATAGAACAAGAGAGCCAACAACGCTCATTGGGAGCGTAAAAAAACGATACGCTCTACGCAGCTAGTGTAGGACGCCAACTAACGCTTGTATATGTTTTATTACCCAGTACTGCACCGCGCACAGGTACTAGCTGTTGTTGTTGTAGATAATATACTAACATTTAATAACATCCAAGAAGGCTGGTCACAGTTAGTTACACCAGGGAGATGTAAAAAATACATCTCCCTGGTTACACAGTGACGTACATCACATAAGTCAGTGAAATTTCATAGGCCTACCGTGTAGGTAAACATAGAAACAGCAATAATAGCAAAACTCGAGCGTCACGACATTGCGAAGTGTCTGCTCTTGTTCCTCGTATCGTACTCACTCGAGTCAATCCGAGATGGACCGAGTGAAGTTTCATGCAAATGTTTCGTACGGAAAAAAAAAATCGCGCACTGGGTAATAAAAAGAATATACAACCGTTAGTTGGCGTCCTACACAGGCATGACGTTTTTACGAACGGGACTTTGCTCTCTTGTTCTATTTATACTCTTTGGCCCGATGTAAACAAACACTGACGCCCGAAAGAGACATCAACCAAAGCTACCCTACATGGTATCGCTAGGCTAGTCTAGGCCTAGCTAAAACAAAACATCACTATTTAAAGATTTCTGACATTTTAAAAATCATAAATTATACATCTAACATCATCTGATGACATACTTTTGCCAAAATCCGCATGGTTAGATTCCGGTCCTAGCCACGGGTTTACGCTAACCAGCGCTAGCTCCGATGCGAATTCTGTCTTTTTTCTTCCATTTTGGATACTTTAAAATAGTGAAATACTTACGGTCCAGACCGAACATAATGTTCAAATTGTTAGTACATGTCGATACATCTATCGAATTCTGTACAAAAAAAAACCTGAAACACGGAGATCTTCGTGTTTGGCGGTTAAGCGTTGCGTTACCAAACACGGAGATCTCCGTGTTTGGCGGGCAGAGTGTTAACTAGGCCTCTAATGCGCTTCACATCATACAATTGTAGTTTACAATATATTGTTATAGCTTAGTGGTTAAGATGCTTGCCTTCTAGTCCCAGGATCCTGGGTTCAATTCCTGTCACAGTAAGACTTGTTCTCATGACTTAAAACAACTCCCTAAGCCTCATATAGAGACATGGTTTATAAAGCATCCGTCCTGTAAGTTGTGTACTTGCTGTTGGGTGTGAAGTAAGTAAAAAGAATATAAATAAATAACTTATATTAAATAGAGCAAAGGAATGCCCAATAATATTTGATAGTTAAACTAAAAAAAAAAAAAAAAAACCAGTTTAAATCAATTTTAACAATTGCTCAAAGTTCAAAATGGCAATAAACTCCAGTCTCCTGTGTATTTCCAAGTTTTAAAATATTTGAAAATCTGTATCTTATTGACCATTTTTGAGTTTTCCTTCAAACAACTTCATTTGTACCACATCAAAAAAATCTTTCCCTCTGTAGCTTGGCTTAAATGAATGTTTGTGGTCTTTCAAAAAATTGTATGTTGTATGTATGTTAATTTTTAAATATATTCTTCAGGAGAATGAAAAGGATTTACAACTTTATGCAAAATATATTATAATTATATGTGTTATTAGTGTTTTGTAAATGTCTGCAAGATGGCAAGTATCAAATAAAAATTTTAATTAATAAATTATATTTTATATATTTATTTACATGTTTTACAGGCAGTAAGAATATTTATGTATACCTATGGTTGAAAATAAATGCAAGATTTATTTTGTTTATATTATTTATTTTTACAGACAATAACCTTTAGTGGCATAACAACTAATATTGATATGACTGGTAAGACTTGTCTGGATAATGCTATGTACATATGTGTCAAACTACAAAGGCAGTCTTCTTCAAATCCTGAATTCAAGTTATCAGGCTCTCCAACTGACAGTGATTTAATTGGTTGTCAACAAGTCACATGCTATGGTATGTATTTAGAGATTATATTAGGGCCCAGGTATTATTTGACCCATGTTTTCTATACCTCTGATTATATGGCTCAGGTTTTGTGTACAGGACAGGTTTTAACCTATGTAGGTGTGGTCTGTTACATTTTAAGTGGTCTGGTTGTTGTCTTGTGTTGTTGCTATAAATAACATTATTATTTTCAATTTTGAGTGCTTAAAAAATCTATGTAATTAACCAAAAAAGGTCAGTGATAGAATCTGAGATTCAGTACCCTTCCAGTGTCTACCTTCAATTTAGCTAACTGACCTATACTGATTTTTAGTTTATCTAATAAAAACAAAAAGCAAAAAAAAAAAGCATACAAAAACATACTGCTACTCTATAAGAAGACATACAAAAGCAGAGAACTATTAATAAACATTTGTTTTGTTTCGTCCACAGGTGTTTATGTTACAGGAACGACCCTTACAATCACAGGCGGTGATGAAATCATTGAGAATTCATTGTCATCGCAAATAACCTTTACCCTTGGAATAACTGCAAATGATAATAGAGCAGATGTATCGGGCAGCAATCTGTGGGCTGTTTCCTCATCTATCTATTCCACTGATGATTTTACTAACCCTGAACTAATTCCACAACAGATTACCACTGCAGACGATGCAATCAGCAATGGAATAGGAACGATAACCGGAGCAATGGTAACATTTAACGTTTCAACTCTCATCTGCTCCGAAATTAACTTTCTATGTGTAATGCTTGCGAAAGGGGCAGAGGCTGATCCAAACTTTACGCTCGTCCCGGATCCAGACAACACAGCTGTACGATCGTGTGCAAGTCTTACTTGTAAAGGTGAATATATGTAAAAACCAATGATTACTCCTGTTTAGATCATATTGAGCCATGCAAATTTTATGCAGATTTTAATTCTGTTCATTAATACCAGAGTCAGATAATAACTTCTAATTATATATTGCTTTTTTAACTTTTACGTGAACTCATTTATGTTAAACAGTGCACGCCTCTAAGTTGCACCAAATCTAAGGGCGGATTTATTGGAGAGTTTAGCCACTGCCACCTGTTTTGTTTATTTATTTATTTTTTTATTTTTTTTATTTTTTTTTACTTTTTTATTTTTTATTTCAACAATATTTAAAGACGGTAACCTTTTCAACTTCCATAAAGGGAGGCTGATGTTTAGGGCCCCTGTAATAAATAAAATACAACATCACACAATATATTACCACTTAAGTAGACAAGCAAATATCATTTATTGAAATTGTGGTCGGACTCTGTTGAACTTTGCTCCCTGTATTTAAAAAAACCGTCCTGGGTCCGTTCAACTATGCAAGTCTATTAAATCACAGTGGATGCTTAGATGCAGGTAGCCAGCAAGCTGCTTAGACACTAGAATTAATATATCTAATTAAAAAAAAAAACATGTTTTTTTTTCTAGGTGTTATTGTCGATGAGACCTCTATAACCGCTGGTGATGACCCAACCAATAATTGGCCAATTGTCGAAGGAAAGGTGCAGAGTGTATTTCTAGATGTGACAGTTACAAGGGACACTACTTCGGCGACTATATCTGGAGAGGATTTGTGGATATTTACAGTTTTCCTAAGTAATGCAAGTGATGGGTCTGGGACCAAACTCTATGAGAATGATGCAACTTTGGATATGTCACAATCGACACAAGGACTGACCTCTGGTGCTCCAGTGGAATTCACTAACATTAAAGTAATTATTAAAATAATAATAATTGTGGTTAAGTGTACCCTTTGTTGTAATTGTACATTGGTGCCCGCTAGTTTCATATTTATTGTTTTAATTTTTATTTCAGATGTGGAAATACATTAATTCTTAATCTGTGTAAAACAAAATAGAAAAAAAAGATATTTTATATCAATAGGCTGCATTTACCTAGATAATGAAGATACATTTTTATTTCTTTACCATTTAAAAAATAGACATTTATCTACAAATAACCTCACATTATATACCATGGACTAAATTAGTTTACTGGTGATAAGAAAAATATTGAGAGGTTTTTAAAATCACAAAATTTTTAAAAAGTTTCATCTCATTTCATATAGATTAAATATTTTTGTAGATTTAGTAGACTTATATGCAGTTTATTAAATTTTAGTTTATCAAAAGAAACATTTAATAAGTGGTGCATTTTAAAGTGTGGATAAATTATACAGAATTATGGAACTTCATAATAAGACCAACCATTAGCTTATCATATTTAGGCCTATTATTAAATATAAAGTAAAGAGAATGTAATGTATAAATAGTGAATGTTTTTACATTATCAGTATTTATAAAAATGATGAGAATATAAACTGTGTAAAAAAACAATTTTTCCAAATGTTTTTTGTATAATATTTTACTTCAAGGTTGAAAACTGGGATCTACAATCATTTTTGTGCAATGAAGCTGACTACATATGTGCAGAGATAAAAAAGAATGGTGCTGCTAACCCAGACTTCACTTTTGAAGGAAGCACAGTCGGTTGTATGCCTCTTCAATGCCGCGGTAAGATTGTACAATAAATATGGGAGATGTTACGATATTGAAGTATGCGTATCTACGTAAAAAGAACAGTTCAAATGTGATGGATTTGAATACTGTATGACTTTTTTTTTTTTGTCTCCAGGAGGAAATTATTGTATCAGGGGATTAATTTTCAATCTTATAATTTTGGATTTAATCACTCCGATGCCCCGCCTTTATTTGTGATTAATAATCCGTTCACTTTTTCTGAGACTGTATTTATAGGGCCTTTTATAGGCCCTTAGAATATTTCTGATTTTATTAGGCGAGACTTTTATTATATGTTGTTTTGTAGACTTGCCACCCGCCAATAAAATTTTAGCCTAGAATAATACAATGTGAACAATTTGTTGTGCAATAAAATCTTGAGCGATATGGCCTATGGACGCCCTCTGTCTTAAACTGACTGCATATTATTTTTGTATATTTTTCATGTAGGGTTTGAGATTGCCGCAATGACACTGACTGTAAGTGTTGGGGATCAAATCATTGAATGGCAACAAGGTCATGCTGTGAACTTAAGTGTTCTCGTGGATCCTGATCCAACTTCAGCATATACTGAAGGTTCAAGTGACTTGTGGGATGCAAATATCTTCTTTAGTCCTGACCCTCAAGGGGATGGCATGCGGTTTGGAGAGACAAGTGCCAATAATGGGGCCTGGGAGGATGTTGGTAAATGAACACATTTTTTCATAAAGTCGATTTTAGACTGGGTCTAATGTTCTCATTACATACTGTAAAAATCTCTTGGCTTGTATATATCAAAATAGACGAAAGACATAAAAGTATAATAATGGACAAATGATACATTATATATGAAACTTACGAATACCATACAAACAAATCTTCTACAGTAATTGTTTTTGAATACATGTCTATCCTAATGTTTGAAACAACTGTAAAACCTTAAAGCCTTATTTAATTAGTTTATTTTTATAGTTTTATTGTACTTCAGTGATATGAGCTTTTAACATTGCCTTACTGTCCCATTTTCCTGGTATTATAATGTACAATACAGAGTATACTGTATATCACAAAAATGTTGAGACAACAATCAGTGGCGGCTCTAGGATATATTTTCTGGGGGGGCTAAGTTGTCCGGCAGGGGACTTGAGCTCGTAGGCTCGAGCTGGAGGAAAGGGTTGAGAGGGGGTACCCCTCCCAAATGAGATTTTTTTAAAGAATATCAACCTCTGGATGGCCGAAAATGGCACTCTCAGACTGTGACAGACATGTGTTGGCTTGGTGTGGGCCTATTTTTATATGTTCTATGGTCTGACTGCCCAACAAGCTCTGTCCGGCGGGGGCTTGACTTGTCCGGTGGGGGGGGGGCTTAAGCCACCCCGCTGGTGCCACCACTGACAACAATCGAGGTAAATACCTTACAATGTGGCTGTTTAATTATATGCAGTACTTTTCACTGGAGGGGGCTATCGCACTGAAAGAAAATAGGAATGTTGTATGATGGCCTACTAAGCCAGTCGTTTACTGAGGTAGCATGGTGTAGCATGCTCCTTTTTGGGCCCATTTGATGCTTGTATGTATGATAGGGTTTGAGTACTATTCCAGTCATTTGAAAGCCTTTTATTGCAATTTGCCTCCAAACAAAGAATACTCATTTGGTAGCTGGTAGGATGCTATCATTCTATTTTGAGTTGTTAGTTTGGTTCAGGCTAATTCCTTCCTGGATGACTCAGAATGAGTTGAGCTTGCTCATATTCAGCTGTAGGCACAAAGGCCAAGAATATACCAGGCAGCTAACGTAATCACTCTGTAAAGTAGCAGTCCCTTCACATAACAAACACACACACATAAGATGCTATACATAGACTCAGGCCTAGGAAGTGAAGTTTATTTTTGGTCATAAGAAAAACTCAAGTTACCATGGCAAGAATTTACCCCAGGACCTTGGGATTGGGAAGGCAAGATTTATAGGCCTACTGTTTCCCATGACCAAGGCAGTAATAATAATAATAATAATAATAATGATGATAATAATATTAGTAATAATAATAATATTAATAATAATAATAATAATAATAATAATAATAATATTAATAATAATAATAATAATAATAATAATAATAATTTTGCGATTTGTATAGCGCCTCCTGTTGAACCAACATCGAGGCGCTGGACAACTATGCAATAATGCAAAGTGAGGCCTACTGTTATCAATTAATAAGGCATTTTAATATAAAGGACTTTTAAATGTTCTGCTAAGGAAAGTGCTTTATTATAATAAGCATAAATAAATAATATTAATAGATTTGTTGCTATTATTATTATTATTAATTATTATTATTATTTTGTTAGTGTTCTTATTGTCATCACTGTATGTCAATGTATACATTTAGAGGTACCACTGTAAGATCTGAAATAACGTATGTAGTTTCAGTCTTTGCTGTCAAGTGATGATTGCTTCATTCTTTTTTTCTTCTGCAGAATTTATGTCAATATCCTCAATGACATTGTCTGGTGTTTTGGCGACTGTCAACCTTAATGGATCATGCGACAATTTACAATATATATGTATAGAAATTCTCAAATCAAGTACTGCAACATTTACATTTGATGAATCTGAAAATGAAAATATTGCATGTACTCAGGTCACCTGCACAGGTTTGTCATGCATTTTATTTAATTTGAGGGAAACTGTTTCTTAGAACTTTGTGTGAGAAAAATGATTATTGAAAATTATTATAATTTTGGTTCAAGATTAAATTGTATTAGTTCCCCTGACCTGGCATCACAGTTACACATACCATAGATGGCCCTTTACAGGCAGTCATGAGATGAAAAGCTTAAGGTGTTCAACTATATTACATAAACATGTTAACATTTCAAAGCTAAATTTACATTTAGATTTAATTTTATAATGAGTTTTTAATCATTGTATTGTTCTATAGTATTGTTGTTTCCTATGTTTTTCATCACAAGTAGGTCAATGTCCAAATTTGTATTTTAATATGATTTTGATATTAAGAATATATATCTAAGTATCAAATTGTTTATTAAGGCTCGAAAAGTAGCTTTGTTTTAAAAAAATATTAAGCTGTTTGTGCTCCTACCTGGTTAACAGAAAATACATTTTACACAAATAAATGTGACCATAGATTTAATAGATTTTGAGTTGATCAGACTTGGGCAGTACAGTTTCTGTCTCTTATACACATCTAGATGTGTATAAGAGACAGAGAATGAGTTGAGCTTGCTCATATTCAGCTGTAGGTACAAAGGTCAAGAATATACCAGGCAGCTAACG